GTCGCTGCCACTTAACAATCGCGTGCCTATTGAGAAACTCTTGCCTTGAGAGGACATTACCTGCCGTTCATCGGTGGTATGCATTCCCACACCTTCACCTTTATACTCTTATGATTTACCGTCCTTCTCAGAGAGGCACGCATATTCCTGAACGTCGCGCGACCACCAATTGTGCCATTCATGAACGGCTCGAGAAGAAAGAATAACATACATGACAAAATTTCTCTTCTCTTATTAACATATGGTCAACTCTTCTGGTGTCACAAGAAACCTTTAATGTTTCTGCGTATGCATCGTACATGTTTTAAAAGAATTTTATACACGTAAAATATATCGCTTGCGTTTACGCCAAATTTGAGAGTTTACTTAAAGAAGTTAAACGTTGACTGAAGAAATTTTAGAGTAATTTTGGACACTTAAAGTAATTTTTAGATGGCCCAGCATGTCGAAGTTCCCTCTAGAGGGCCGCGCGGCACAACACTTTCTCGTAAGAAGAAAACCGCACGCGGTATTAGAAATTACATTACGTACTTTTCACAATTCTTAAAGTTTCTTAAATTCTTAAAGTGAGCTTTAAGTTTACTTTAAATAAAAGTTTGAAGTGTCCTAAATATATAATTATTAATAAAATGTATAGTAAAGTTTCGAAAAATGCTCATAAAATTCTTCGAAACGCCATGTTGTCCAACGATTATATGATTTCCAGGATAAATTTTAAGAGAAAATTTTCTCCGTGTAAGCGAGGTACGTAAAGCTGACCAATAGTATCGCAAAGAACTCACGTGCTCAGGCTCGTAACTACACGCTTACACGCGTACCTATCTGTCAACGTAATCTGGAATGATGTAATCATCAACCGCGTACTACGCTGAACGTGTCGGATCTTTGCCACAATCTCGAGATGGCAATACAAGGTCCCGTTACGTGCGGCAGTTCTGTCCTAACAACCCGTATTCACCCGAGATCAAACAGGCTCCGATTATCGTTTATTCCAATCCCCGCAGAATTCCCTCAATGGTAAAAACTTTGATACCTAGAGGCTGTAAAAATTCACTTGGACCAGTTTTTCGCCCAGAAAAATAGAAAGTTCCGAGGAACAGAATTTCTAAACTATTCGAAGAATAACTAAAGATTGAAAAAAAATACGAATACAGACATTACTGCATTACTAAAAAATACAGCTGACACAAATATTGCCTTTTTGTTCTTCGCATAAAAATTATTATAAACTTGTCGAGCAATTAAATTTTTTGTTAGATCCGAAATTGGATGACCTCGTTACATGCTCCGAGTACTTTGGCGAGCAAATACGAGCAGCAAACTGATTATCGATCGCATTAACGAGCCATTCAGATTCCAAGCTTTAGTGATTCCACACTATTAATTATTCAAATTGAGCGTCGTACTTACATACTGTGCATACATGCTGTTTCGTATAAATCAGCACAGCGGTTACTTAAAGCGTTTATCGAATAGTACAGAGCACACTGGACTACGCCAAAGGCGGGAAATTATGTTCGCAATCATATCCAAAAGGGTTTCCCTTAGCTAGAAACGCTCTGCCGCCCGAGTGGTTTTGTTAGGGAATTGCGAATCGGTATATCGTGTAAGATTTCCGTCAGTATCCAATTAAACACGGTATTGTAGAATACAAATGCAGAATATATCCGTAATCGTGAAAAAATTTCAATTAGCCGAATACATTTTATTTTAGAATTTATAGAGTGTGCGACGACCCTTGCAGAAATGTAATACTGGGAACGAACGAGAGCACCGAGTAATTACTAAAGTTCAGTAATTGATTCATTAGTGGTGAACAGTACATTCACTGGTGAACAGTAATTTTCTAGTAATTATTTCCCTTACATTTTTGTAAGGGGATACCCACAGTTATCGCCGTTAGAATTTCCTGTTAAAATTTATCCAGGTTCAAACCTTGGCTGAGATAATACTTTTTGCAAAACATTTTTTAAATTAGAATTTGCCAGTTAGCGTCGTTTAACAATTTTTCTACATTGGTTATTTTATCTTGTTTTATTTTATTTTATCTTTATAATACCCCAGCATGGCCTAATGCCCAAAAAATGCCTACACTGAAAAAAATTTCTGGTTGAATATGGACGAACCAGATAATTCCTGTAGGATTTACCAGAATTCCTGTAGGATTTACCAGAATTTCTGTAGGATTACAGGAATTCTGGTAAATCCTACAGGAATTATCTGGTTCGTCCATATTCAACCAGAAATTTTTTTCAGTGTAGTAATGCTCAGTAATGCCGCAAATCTGTACACCACAATGCCTTCAGCGGTTTACCCCTCGAACTTATATTTTACCCCTTAGGAACTTATCTCGCAATAAGGGACTGTTCTCTAATTATACTTATTGTTAGTACATATTTTATAGTAAAATGTATGTAAAATTTGAAAAAAAAGCTCTCATACAGTTCTTCAAAATGCCATGTTGTCCCACGACCATATGGTTTTCAGAATAAATTTTAAGAGAAAATTCTCTCCGCGTATAAATCAATCTCGTATCAGACTACGAAGTGAGATTGAGATTAGATTGAAATGTGGCCAATCGGAGGAAAATTCACGAAACCTAAGATTAGTATAGTTTGCTCCGATTGAGGGGTAAACCGCTGAGGGCATTGTGGTGTACAGATTTGCAACATTACTGCTCTGGGA